TTTTTTTTCAAGAAAGTCAGATTTGTTTTCACAAAATAACACTTGTAATTTCTTGACTTCAATTTTACATGTGGGAAAGTCAGGGTGTTCCCACTTAAGTTAGTGCATTCTCTAAAGCAGCTTTTGTTTCTCAGGAAATGGATTATTGGTTTGCAAATATATATATTTTTTCCAGTGCCAGGTATAGTTAATCTACTCCCATTTTTAAAAGTGAGAGAGTATATATACATTTAAAAGAATGATAATGAGGGGCGCCTGGGTGGCTCAGTGGGTTAAAGCCTCTGCCTTCAGCTCAGGTCATGATCTCAGGGTCCTGGGATGGAGCCCCACATCTGGCTCTTTGCTCAGCGGGGAGCCTGCTTCCCCCTCTCTCTCTGCCTGCCTCTCTGCCTACTTGTGATCTCTCTCTGTCAAGTGAATAAATAAAATCTTAAAAAAAAAAAAAGAATGATAGTGAACTTCACATAACCGCCATCCAAGTTAAGACACAGAACATGTGTCTTAACCATATTAACAGGAGACAATAACTTAGAAATGCCTCACTAGCAATCCCACTCAGAAAGGTAACTGCTATTTAATTTTCTGCTTTTCTCTATAGTTACACTACTTACACAAGTGTTCCTTAATAAAACACTGCTTAGTTTTGTCTGCTTTGAACTCTATATAAATGAAATCATATTATATGTGTTATTTTGTGATTATATCTTTAATGTGCAATTTTTAAGTTCTCAAAACTATTCCATTTTCTATTTGTTTGATCCAGTGATACCACTATACTGATTATTATAATTTTATACTAATTCTAATGTAAGATAAATCTCCACTTTATTTTTCAAAAGCATCGTGACTATTCTTCATCCTTTGCATTTCCATATAACATTATTTTCAACCTCAGGTACACAGAATTGGCCTAATCATATTTAATTTTTTTAAACAAATCTCATTGATCCATTCATGTTCTTTTCTCTAACCTTTATATTTATTTAATACCTAATATGATGAACTCTCATATATCTACCATGTAACACAAGAATTAAAACCTTATCAAGAATTTATACCTTACCCCCATTCTCCTCCTTCTCCTCATCCCCTTGCTTTCCCTATTCTGAATTTCATTGTTGTTATTAACAAAAGTTTGTATAAATATTCATTTGTCTGAATATTATACTGTTTAGTTTTGGTTTTGAACTTTCTAGAAAGGATATTATACTGTACATAGTCTTCTGAGGCTTTTTTTTTTTTTTTTTCTTTTACAAGCATGCTACTAAGATTCATCCTTACTCTTGTAAGTAACATCACCAAGGATGTTAGCCTGTGATTTTTTTTTTTCTTGTGGTGTCTTTGTCTGGTTTTGGAGTTAGGGTAATGTAAAATGAGTTTGGAGGTATTCACTCTTCTATTATTTGGAAGATTCTGAGAAAAATTGGTATCAATTCTTTGAATGTGTGGTAGTAGAACCCACCAGTGAAGCTGTCTGTTCCTGGACTTTGGTTTCTTGGGAGTTTTTGTTTGTTCGTTTAGAAAGGGAGAGGCAGAGGGAGAGAGAAAATCTTAAGCAAATTCCATGCCCAGTTCGGAGGCCCACTTGGGATTCATCTCTGAGATCATGCCCTGAGCGGAAATCAAGAGTCAGAGGCTTAACCGACTAAGCCACCAGGACCCCCTGTTGGGAGGTTTTTGATTACCGATTCAATCTCTTTACTAGTAATTGGTGTGTTCCAATTTCCTGTTTCTTCCTGATTTGGTCTTGGTAATTTGTATGTTTCAAGGAATTTATCCATTCTTCTAGGTTGGTATATAATTGTTCACTAGTCTTTTACAATCCTTTGTTCTTCTGTGGTGTCAGTTATAAAGCATCTTCTTTCATTTCTCATTCATTTGAATCTTTTTTCTTGGGGAGTCTAGCTAAAGGTTTGTCAATTTATTTATCTTTTCAAACAACCACCTCCTAGTTTCACTGATCTTTTCTATTTGTTTTTAGTCTTATTTCTGCTCTGATCTTTGTTACTTTTTTCCTTCTACTAACTTCATTTGTTCTTTTTGTTTATTTTTGTTCTTTGAGCTATAAAGTTAGGTTGAGATTTTTCTTGTTTCTTGAGATAGACGTTTATTGCTATGAACTTCCCTCTTAGGACTGCTTTATCCCATATGTTTTGTTATGCTGTATTTCTATTTCCAAATGTCTCAAGCTATGTCTTATTTCCCTTTTGACCCACTAGATGTTCAGTAATATGTTTAATCTCCACATACTTGTGAATCTTTCCAGTTTTCTTTTTGTAATTTCTCATTTTATACCACCAGAGTCAGAAAAGATGCTTCATGTGATTTCAATCTTAAATTTATTAAGATTTGTTTTAATGATCTATCCTGGAGAATGTTTCTCTTTTTAATTTAAATTCAATATAGTTAACAATGTATTTTAATTTCAGAGTCAGAGTTTAGTGATTAATCAGTTGCATATAACACCCAGTGGTCATTATATCAAGTGCCCTCCTTAATGCCTATCACCCAGTTACCCCATCCTCTGCCTCCTCCCCTCCACCAGCAACCCTCAGTTTGTTTCCCATAGTTAGGATTCTCTTATAGTTTGTCTCCCTCTCTGATTTCATCTTATTTTACTCCCCCCCTTCTCTAATGATACCCTTTTGTTTCTTAAATTCCACATATGAGGTCATATAGTTGTCTTTCTGATTCATCTATTTTACTTAGCATAATACCCTCTAGTTCCATCCACATTGTTGCAAATGGTAAGATTTCATTTTTTGATGGCTGAGAAAAATTCCATTGTGTATGTATGTATGTGTGTGTGTGTGTGTATACACACACACACACACACACACACACACACACATCTTCTTTATCCATTCATCTGTTGATGGACATCTGGGCTTTTTCCATAGTTTGGCTATTGTGGACATTGAGGCTATAAACACTGGGGTGCAGGTTCTCCTCAAATTACTATGTTTGTATCCTTTAGGTAAATACTTAGTAGTGCAATTGCTGGATTGTAGGGTAGCTATATTTCTTACTTTTTGAGGAGCCTTCATATGGTTTTCCAGAGTGGTTGCACCAACCTGCCTTCCCACCAATAGTGTAAGAAGGTTCCCCTTTCTCCACATCCTTGCTAATATTTGTTGTTTCCTGACTTGTTGATTTTGGCCTTTCTGACTGGTGTGAAGTGTTATCTTATGTGGTTTTGATTTGTATTCTGGAGAATGTTTTATGTGCACTTGAGAAGTATGTATTCTGTTGCTTTTGGATGAAATGTTCTGTATAAATCTATAACATGCTGTATAGGCCAATATTATTTTATTGAATTTCTGTCTGGGTGATTTATTCATTGATGTAAGTGGGGTATTAAAGTTCTCTACTATTAGTGTATTGCTATCTATTTCTCCCTTAGGTCTATTAATATTTGTTTTATATACCAGGTGCCCCTGTGTTGGGTATATTGAGAAATCTTGTTGGATTGACTGACCTCTTTATCATTATATAATGATCTTGTCTATTATATTCTTTTCTTAAAAAAGTTTATATTTAAAGGAGACAATATAGGTATCCCAGCTTTCCTAGGTTTTTATTTGCATGGAATATCTTTTTCAATCCCTTAACTTTCAGTCTATTTATATCCTTACATCAGAAGTGAGTCTCATAGGTAGCAAATAAATCAGTCTTGATTTTTTATACATTCAGCCACTCTATGCCTTTGACTGAAGAATTTATTTTGTTTATATTTAGTTACTGACATGTATTACTTGCTGCCATTTTAAAATTATTTTCTGGCTGTTTTGTACTTCCTGTTCATTTTTTTTCTTCCTCTCTCCCTTTATGATTTGATGGCTTTCTTTAGTGGTGGGCTTAGATTCCTTTCTCTTTTGTATCTCTACTGTAGGTTTTTTGCTTTGTGTTTAATCAAGGCTAACCTATAACAACTAATAATCTAAGTGGATAATTATTTAAGTTTCATCACATTCCGAAGCTCTGTATCTTTATTCTCTATATCTTTACTCTCCCTCCATTTTAAAAAAGATTTTATTTGTATTTATTTGACAGAGAGAGAGAGAGATCACAAGTAGGCAGAGAGGCAGGCAGAGACAGAGGGGGAAGCAGACTCCCCTCTGAGTAGAGAGCCCAAAGTGGGGCTCTATCTCAGGACCCTGAGATCATGACCTGAGGCAAAGGCAAAGGCTTAACCCACTGAGCCACCCAGGTGCCCCTACTCTTCCTCCATTTTGTTTTTATGTCACAATGTCCATATTTTGTGTGTCCCTCAAATAATTATTTTGGTTATAATGATTTTTTCTACTTTTGTTTTTTAATCTCATACTAACTTTGTAAGTGATCATTCCCACTTCTTTTCTATATACATACCAGTGCAATTTATACTTTCATCTGTTTTCTTGTTACTAATTAGTGCCTCCTTCATTTTAACTTAAAGAAGTCCCTTTAACATTTCTTGTTAGGCTGGTCAAATAGTGATGAACTCCTTTAGCTTTTGCTTCTCTGGAAAACTCTTCAACTCTCCTTCAATTTTGAAGGACATTGTTCCTGGGCAGAATATTCTTGGTTGGCAGGTTGTTGTTGTTGTTGTTTTTTCCTTTTAGCACTTTGAATAGTTCATGCCACTTCCTCTGGCCTATAAAACTTGTACTGAGAAATCTGGTAGTTTTATTGGGGGGGGTTCCCCTTGTATATAACAAGTTGTTTTTCTCTTATTGCTTTTAATATTCTTTTTATAAAGTCTTGGTATAGGTCTCTTTGGTTTACTCTTATATCGCTCTCTGGATCTGGATGTCTGCCTTCTATCCCAGAGATTCTGTTTTAATTTTTTTTAGGTCACAGCCTGGTCAAGAGGAGATTTTAAAATTCTCCAGTGGATTTTAATGCATGATCAAGGTTGAGAACCACTGCTTTAAACCCACTCAGTCAGAAAGAGCTGTCTGAGCAAAACCTCCCCATGGCAGAGCCAGACCAGGTTTGGCTAAGAGTGCCATACTCACCTGCAATACTTGAGAGGAGTCCCCGAAAACTCACTGCCATCAGACTCAGGCTCAGATCGGTTCTCAAAGTCAGAAATTCGAAACACAGATAAGCTGGCATTTACATAGCCAACCATGCACCTAAAAGAGAAAAAGAATTCTATAATTAGTTCTCTGATCACCTCTGCATCCAATTCCTAGAAGCTCTTCCTAGAAGCTCTTGCACTTGTAAATGCCTTTAGCTTTATCATAAGCACTCAAGTTAGGATATACTGAAAAACTCTGGGTATGTGGAATCAGGAACAAGTCATTCTTTTATTCCATTCTTCTTGTTCAGAATCATCATCCAGAACATCACTACCCCAATCAATACTTCAGTGAAATAGGTGAAAGACAGCATTGCATGATTAATAGGCAAATCACTGTTTCTTTCCTTGATGATGTAAACACACATACACACACAAACACATTCCTTTATTGATGAATATTTATACTCTGTCATAAGCCCTCAAGTGTGACTGGTGTTTCTATGACCCTCCCCCTCCAAATCACATCCCTTGCTACAGTCATGCTAAGCTACATTCCCTGCATATACCATATGCTTTCATGCCTCTGTTCAGGTTATCTTTTCTATTTTCTCTTCATTTCTTTCTAAGTGGAAATAGTGCTCATTTTTCAATGAGCAACTAAAATGGCACTCCTTCTGGGGAGATGTCCTAATCCCACCAGAAAAAGACTCATTCCCTCTTCTGTATGGTGCTGCTGTACCTAACTGCACCATTACCATACAGCTTGTGCTTGAGGTGCTTGCATGGATGGAGGTCTTCTCCTTTAGTTTTTGGAGCTGAGCAGGTGTCATAAGTATTTTTATGTTTTGTGTAGTGTAGGAATCCACTAAATATCAAATTCAACTGATTTCAGTTGAGGAAAACTAAAGTATCAGAGATTCTATCATGGTCTTAAGAATGGACCAGGAATAAAATTATTACCTACATATCCCACAGCTAATAAGCTTCTTGAGGACACATCTTCTATTCTGTATGAGGAGTCAGTATATTATGATACTAAAAACTTGGGTTTGAGGGTCAAACTGTATGTCTTCTACTTTCTAGCCATGCAAATTTGTCAAGTTATGTAACTTCATTAAACAACAGATGTGCTTAACTCATAGGGTCATTGTGGGGATTAAATGAAACAATACATGTAAAAGTGAGTGATAGAGTGTCTAGCATATAGCAAGATCTTAATTAAATGTGAGTGGCTACTATTAATTTTATTTCTTGTACCTTGTAGAAGGTCAATAAATAATTATTGATTTAATGAATAAATCATAGCTTTCAAATTCTCTTCATTAACTTGTCTGGCATGATTATTCCAAGCTGCTGAACACCAAACCAAAATGATGACACACAGGTAGTTCTGAGAGGACATAAGTTCTGTGTGTTGTCTTGATCAAGACAAATCACTGGGGTTTTATCAGGGCCTTAAAAAAATGAACCAAGCAGAAGGACCCATTTGTCGTCACTCATGGGTGAAACACATGGTCAGTGGGTGTGTAATATGCCTTAATCCAACTGGCCGCAGGTCTCCCCTACCACTCCTTAGAAGGGTAATTTGGAATAATGTCTTCCTTGTCTTTGAACTGCCTAGAACATGACATGAAAGCAAATGATTGCTTTGATGATTATTAGCTGTCATAGAGAGGAAGACAGTTTTTGTGAACTATAGAATATAGCAGAGTCTTCTCAGGAGCCAAACAGTGAGAGATGAAAGGTGCTCTGGAAACTTGCAGAAAACAGGCCCAACATTGAAATGAAATATTCACAAGCCTCCTGCACTCTTTCTTACTACCCAAAGCAGCCTTGCAGTTTTATTGAGATTAAAACTGTGGCTTAATGGCTGCTCTGTCCAAAAACTCAATTGAGGAAAAATCTAAATTTAAGTAAAATATTCGAAATAAAGAGGATTATCTTTGAACTATTTCTTAAGCATATTCATGTAATGTCAGTTATAAATCCAGCTTGAAAATGTGTGTTTGGTTCTGTGCTCCTGTGTACAAAGCATCACACATGGACGTAGGACATATATACACAGTTATTCACTGCATAAGTCTTCTTTCCATATCCTTTACCTAATCAGGGAAGAAGAGGGACTGCAAATACTGAACTGCCTGGGCATTTCTCAAAGTCTTTTCACTGTGGTAGAATCTTAGCTATTGCCCACAATAAATAGTTAAGGAGTTTTGGAGGTTGGTTTGGTTGGAGCACTTTTGATTTAGAGTCAGCCTCAATTGAAATAGGGCATTTCTATGGGTGAATTAAATAATAATAAGTATAATTTGACTATGCACATGCTATCTCAAAAGCCTGTAACATTCTAAAATTTGACAATGTTGCTCCTCTATGAGTTAATTTCTAATGCATTTCCGAATTGGAAAAACAACAACAACAACAACAACAACAACAAACAAACAAACCTTAAAAAGGATAATAAAGTAGCTGGTGGGGCAGAACACAAGATTCATGAAGAAACTTATACCAAAGCAACTATTTGCAAACAAGAAAAATGACCAATGGATTAGAAGATAGAAGGTAGACCTATAAATATTCAAAGTGGCAGAAGGCTCTTATGTGAAAGATGATATATAAAAAATAGCCCAGGGGAGCCCAATAAACCTAAATCAAGAAGACTCTTAGGTCTCCATGAACATTGTCTTAAATCTATTAAGCTGTCAACATTCTAAAGCTTTGATTCACTATCAACTGCACGTAAATGTTCCCATATTATTTTCAGGTTTTGGGTTTTCCCCACAAACCAAAACAGGTTTCATTACATTTGTGGTCCAGGAAGAATTTAAATAACCACTGGGACTTAAACCCCCAGGGAATTTTCTCCTGTTGGATAAGCTAGATAAACATTATGTGGCAATGGCCCCCAGGGCTGTGTGGTTCAGGATGGCAAGAACTGTATGAGTCTAGGCTTTGCCTTCATGTGGGTTCCATCAGTTATTCTACCTTGTGATTCTGGATTTAACCTCTCTGTCTCTTTCTGCTCTTCAAAGTGAGGGTAATACTGCACGTCCCAGTCCTGGGGTTGTTTTGAGAATCAAATGCAAAACAAATGGGAAAGTGGTTTAAACAAAGGCAAGTTTTTCTAGGCTCAGTCAAACAGAGGATCTTGGCAACAGTTAAAATTAGAAAGACTACATGAGTAATATAGTATGTCTTTAAGTCTCTTAAAATGGGATGTTTCACTTAAAGATGCTAGATAATTAATGTCGAATGGCCACATGGTTATTACAGTAAAGAACTTTATAGAAGCCTCTTCAAATAGCTGGATTGTAAGCTTTACTGCGTTCAACCATCCATGCCTTAGAGCAGTTAAGTAAGATTAATAATGAAATTGGACCTAGGCCAGGGGTACATGAATTTGGTTGACTTGATTTGGTAGCACATTATTCCTTGGGACTAACCTAACTACAGTAGTTATATGGATTAGTTTCATTCTGATTGGTAAACCAGGAAGCAGGGCTGCCTGTGCGAGTAGTCATAGCCCATGTGGGATGATTTCTGGGACATTGAAAAGCCTCCCAAAACATACTCTACTCTGACTTACAGACATCTAAATTCCACAATTAGAACTGGATTATTTTTACTTTAGCCAAAGATTTTTTTCTCCTATTAAAAAGGATATAGAGGGACGCCTGGGTGGCTCAGTTGGTTAAGCGGCTGCCTTCGGCTCAGGTCATGATCCCGGCGTCCTGGGATCGAGTCCCACATCGGGCTCCTTGCTCGGCAGGGAGCCTGCTTCTCCCTCTGCCTCTGCCTGCCTCTCTGTCTGCCTGTGCTCGCTCGCTCTCTCTCCCTCAGTCTCTGACAAATAAATAAATAAAATCTTTAAAAAAAAAAAAAAAAGGATATAGAAAGAAAACCTAGGGGATGTGTTATAATTTTGCTTGGACTTTACCTGACCAGAAATATCCAGAAAGTCATGACTTTTGGGGATCACTTAGGTGATGCCACAGAATTGAATTTGCCTGAGGTAATATGTACCTTGGTCAGGTCAATAGCCAGGAAAGAATCATTCAGTTACTTATTCCACAAATATTTATTGAGTACCTACAGGATACTTATCACATGGTTGCACATTTCTGGTACAGAATTTGTAGTCTCCATATGATGTCACAAGAGGAATCAGATTGTAACTGTCCTCTTACAAACTTATAAAAATGGAATAACTGTATACTATATCATGTGTTACTTGTTTTGGCTTACACATATTAGCATATTGTACATTTCTGAATTCATAGTGGGCAGGGTTAGGGGTAAGGGAAATGATTAATTCCACCCAAAGTTTACCTGTATTGAGACCCAACTCTTCATTCAATCAGGATGTGTTTTCCTTTGCTGCAAGTGTCCTCATAACTTTACCTCCCCCACTACTGTCCTTCTCACGCTAGGTTGCTCCAATGCAGAAGCTTTTGACTGAGTGTACCAGCATCACACAGTGCATAGGAAATGGGGATTTCATGATAGTTTTATGACAAACTTACTTTTGTCCAGCTTCTCCTTGGCCTGCACAAGGTCCATACTTATAAGCATACACCAAGCGAGGGATAAAGTCAGATGTTATCGCTATGACAAATGCATTTGTAATAACCGAGAGAATTCCAATGCCTTCAAGAATTCCATACCAAATTCCTATTCAAAGAGAAGTGTTATATTAGTTCCAGACACAACAGCAGGAATAACAGTATGAAAACAACTGGGGTAACTCATTTCAATAGTCCTTTCCATGGGTCCATTCAAATTCCTAAATACACTTGTCACCAAGAGTAAGAATTTGTACTTGCAAACACCATGGCATTGAAGGAGTTTCTGGGAAAGTGTCAATGCTCATGACTTAATGAGTCAGTCAGGATCAGATTTAAGTCAGAGAGTTCTAGTCAGTGATGAGGCACCAATACATTATCCAATAAGATGAGCACTTCCACTGTCAAGCCACTACGAGAATGGGAGCTCCTGAAGGGTGCTGACATCTGGGTGGGCCCAGTGCCTGTTGCACTGACCTGGGATAGGTGCTCACTGAATGTGGTTTCTTTCATATGGAGGTTAGAGACTGCTGTGAGCCTTGTACATCTATATTCAATTCTCTTCCATATACACTGAGTGCCTGCTGGTTCTGTTCTAAGCATTTGATGCAGAAGTAAATAAAAGATCATCTCTGATCTCAGGCAGTGCTCAAGAGGCTGCATTTGATTAGACTCAGCCTCTCCTGTCAAAGACTGCAGGCCATCTCTGTCTTTAGAAAAACTGGATTATGCTTTATGTGACTCAGGGAAACATTTGGGCAAAATAAAGCAAATGGAAGATTACTTTAAAAAGGAAATAAGCAATATTAAATCAAAATTCTAGATTCCAAGTTCAAATAACAAAGTTGAAAATCTATTTAAGCCCAAATTCTCTAGTATTGGAAATTATAAATTTCCAAATAGGCACCTTTACTTCTTGTCTCATATTATTTAAAGCTAACATAATTATTCTTTTGCAAGAATAAGTTAAGTCATCTTACATGGAAACCATAAGTAAAAATCCAGAGTTGGTGTTTGTTTTAACTTTATCCACCATACGGTTAATATCTTTAAAACATTTCAAATCCAACTTACCTATGTCTTTGGCCCTTGAAGCTAAAGGTCGCCTCCACTGTGTGACAAATTTGTAGGCATCAAGTCGAATTTCAATTATGTTATTCAGTAAGGCCAGAAGTGGTGCTAGGGGAAAAGCTGCCACAAAGATAGTTGTGAATCCAAATTGAAGAACTAGAGAAGAAAAAAGGAAAAAGAACAGAGTCTTGGTTTTCCATTACTATTTTCAAAAGGATAATAATCTGAAAGTATCCTTGTCTTCACCCATATTTTTTCCAATATAGAAGCCCAGGAAACATCTCTTTTGCAAAGATGGCCAGGATGCTGGAAAAAGAGGCATTACCTGGACCTGGAAGGAATGACATCCTAGGAGCAATGATCATACCTAGGATCCAGATCTTGTTTTCTAAGTACCATTGTTTAATAAAAGGTACACAGCTCCTTGAAAAAATGTTTGATTCTAGAGCCATAGCAGGAAAATACAAGGGAAGGCTGGAATATCTCATAATGCCAGAAAGTTAGGAAGTCCTTGAAATTGAATGGGGAGCATATCAGTAGGACACAGGACAAACCTGAAGGAGCTACCAATGGCAAAAGTGGGAACAATATATACAACAAAATAAATGATAGTATTGCGTTAAATCTAAAGACTAAATATCTAATATACTAATATAATGCTGATATAAATAACTGAATAAATGGGGGAGAAGGGATAGCTCCTCCCTATGGTAGAATTTTAATTAATAAATTAGAAAATAAGTGCATAAAAATAAATATAAAAGAAATGATAAAGATACAAAATCACTGTTGGTCAAAAACATCACAGTAATTATTACAGGCAAGAACCACCAAAGAATGCTAAAGTTAATAGGGAGAATTATAGTTAAAAAAAATAGGACATTTGTATATTCTCAAAGTATCTCCCTATGTGAGAGTAATTACAGAGAAAAAAACACATTTTTGGGGGTGGGGGAACCATTATCTTCACAGTGGAAAAAGCTGGTAGTCAATATTACTTGTAATAAGACATATTGACATCTCATGCCCCTGTTATGATAATACTGAGCACACACCATTTCTGTGGTGATCTTGCCAAAAAGGCATAACCTCAACCTAATCATGAGAAAACATTAGATAAACCCAAATTGCAGGACTTTCTACTGAACTCTTAGCCAGTACTCTTCAAGTGTATCAAGATCATGAAAAACAAAGAACTGTCCTAGATTAGAAGAAACTAAGGAGATACAACATTAAATGCAATGTTGGATCCAGGATGGGTCATGGACAAGAAAAAGTTAAAAAAAAAAACCCTGGTAATATTAATACAAGGTTTGTGATTAGTTAATAGTGTATTAATGGTTATTTTCTGGTTTCAATAAATATATAACATATTAGGGGAAATAAGGTGACGAGTATAGGGGAACTCTATTATTTTTGCAACTTTGCAAAATAAAATGTTAAAAACAAACTCAAACAAACAAACAAAAAGGCAGTCCCTGATGCAAAGCAACCAGAGAGCATAAATGAAAATTTAAAAATACAATTTATTGAGTATTGTGGACTGCAAAATAGTACTTGGCTAAATGAAAGACTATATAGTTGTTTTGCTTTTTTAGAGTATTTTAGAAACTAATAATGACTAACACTTATATACCATTTCTGTGTAACAGCCACTATTGTAATTACTTCACATATATTAGCTCATTTAGTTTTCATAATAACCCTATCGTATTGGCATTATTATTACCCTTACTTAACGGGTGAGGAAATGGAGGCACTAAGAGGTCAAATAACTTACTTGACACACAACTAAGAAGCAATTCCAACGTGGGTAATGTGGTTCCAGAGTCCTGAAGAGTCAGTCCATGTACCTCATCTGTGTGGCACTGCCACCTCCAGGGTGTCACCTGTCCTGGGTCACATTTATATTCCGTGCCTATGCTTCACTCACCGATAGACACAGCCATCTCCCTTAGTTTTCCCCTTAGTGTTATCTTTTTGTTGACTTCTTTCCTTGGGTCAGTACATCTACTTTCATGACTTCATTATTATCTCTCTGGTAAGGATTCTCAATTCCCTATCTCGCACCTTGAATCTTATCAAGGAGTTTCCAGTTGTCTGCTATTATGCTATAGAAGCAGCACTCTCCAAACCCTGATTCAATCTTAAACCTCAATCCCTCATCCTTAAATATGTTTCTCCCTTCATGTCTTCCTTCCCTTCAGATTTGTCTTGCACAAAAACCAAGTCTCCACTCTCCCTACTGGAGTTCAGGCGCTCCTGTTCTGACTTCTCTTTCTCAGATTTTCACCTGCTTCCCCCATCTCACTGCTGTCAATATTGGTTAAAGCTCATAAAGAATCATCAATCTTCTCTCTATTCTGAACATTTCAGAAGGTTCTCATTGCCTATAGACTAAACCCCAAACTTTTCACTGTGCCATTCAAGGATTTTCCAAGCCTCATGTCCAAACATCCCTCATGCCTAGCCAGGTTTCCCAAGCAATCCTCTGCTTTGGCCACACCAAACTTCTGGTTTTATGGAGTCATATACTTAGCATTTTTACTCATACCCTGGTGAAGTTCTATTCTTCCTTCAAGCCTAAACTCAGTGTGGCCTCTGCTAGAACTTCTCATAATTGTAATTAACTATTGCTTCCTTAGTAGCTTCTACAACTCTGCTTATATTGGAGAATTTATTTTGTCTTGATTTTATGGCTCTTTCCCTGTATGGTACTGACTCTTATGTTTCAGTCTTTGATCCATTTTGAGTTAATTTTCATGAGTAATGTAAGACGGGTTCAATTTAATTTTTCTGCATGTGTTTATCCAGTTTTTTTCTAACACCATTTGTTGAAGAGACTATCCTTTCCCCATTAAGTTATTCTTGGTTCTCTTGTTGAATATTAGTTGACCAAACATGAAGGTATTTAATTCTGGCTTTTCTATTATATTCCATTGTTTATGTGTATTATTTCACTCCAGTAAGATACTGTTTTTGTTAATACAGATTTATAATACAGTTTGAAATCAGAACATGTGATATTTCCAGCTTTGTTCTTTTTCCTCAGGACTGTGTTGGTTATTTGAATTCTTCTGTGGTTCCATACAGATTTCAGGGCTTTTTTCTTTTCTTTCTTTCTTTATTTTTTTTGTTAAAGATTTTATTTCTTTGAGGGGGGCAGGGCACAAGCAGCAGAAGGTTAGAGGAAGAGAGAGAAGCACACTCCTCGCTGAGTGGGGAACCCAATACAGGGCTTCATAACAGGCCCAAGATCATGACCTGAGCTGAAGGCAGCTGCTTAACTGACGAAGGCACCCAGGCTCCCTGGTTTTTTGTTTTCTTTTGTTTTGTTTTGTCTGTTTTTTGGTTTTTGTTCTGTTTCTGTGAAAAATGCTATTGGTATTTTAATGGGGACTGCATTGACTCTGCAGATGGCTTAGGGTAGTATGGACATTTTAACATTAATTCTTCCAATCCATGAACAGAGGACAGGTCTCTCCATTTGTTTCTTTTCAGTTTCATTCAGCAAAGTCTTATAGGTTTCACTGTACATATCTTTCACTTTCTTTGTTAATTTTATTCCTAGGTGTAGATTTTGATGCTATTCTAGGTTGGGGTAGCTTTCTTTCTCTTTCAGATGTTTCATTCTTAGTATACAGTACATCCTGCAACTTTACTGAAATTGCTGACTAGTGCTGACATATTTTTTAGTTGACTCTTTTGAGATTTCCTGTATATAAAATCATCTCATCTCCAAATCGTGACAATTTTACTTCTTTTCTGATTTGGATGCCTTTTCTCTGTTCTGCCTAATTGTTTTAATTGGGAATTCTGGTACTACATTGAATAAGAGTAGGGAGAGTGAGCATCCTTGTCTTTTTCTTGATCTTAGTGGAAAAACTTTTAATTTTTCTCCACTGAGTATAATATTAGCTGTGGGTTTATCATATGTGGGCTTTATCATGTTGAGGTATGTTCCATCTATTCCCAATCTTTTGAGGAATTTTATAATTAAAAGAAGTCATGTTTTATCAAATGCATTCTCTGAATCTATTGAGACTATCATATGATTTTTATCTCTTGTTCTACTAATGTATTACATTCGACTTGCCTATTTTCAACCAGCTTATATCCCAGGGATAAATCCCATTTGGTTACAGTGTTTGAATTCAGGAAGACACTAAAATAACTAGTTTACTCATATTTTATCAAGAATTTTTGCATTTATATTCATCCAGGATATTTGCTTATACTTTTCTTTTAGTATCCTTAACTGGCTTTGGTATCAAGGTAATTCTGGCCTTGTGGTGTTTCCTCTTCTTCTGTTTTTTGGAATAGTTTGAGAAGGATTTGTATTAATTCTTCTTTAAATGTTTGGTAGAATTCACAAATGAAGCCATATGGTCTCAGGTTCACTGTCGTGGGGTATTTTTTATTACTGACTTAATCTCTTTGTCTGTGGTCTGTTCAGATTTTCTGTTCCTTCCTGATGCACTCTTCTGGGTTGTCTGTTTTTAGAATTTATCCATTTCTTCTAAGTTATCTAATTTGTTGACATGTGATTATTCATTATAGCCTCTTATACCATTTCTGCAATATCCATTGTATTATCTCCTTTTTTATTCCTACTTTTATCCGAGTCTTTTCTTTTTTCTTAGTCTAGCTAAAGGTTTGTCAATTTTATTTTTTCAACAAATTATCCCTATTTTGTTGATCTTATCTATTGTTTTTTTCTAGTCTCTATTTCATTTATTTCTGCTTTCATCTTTATTATTTCCTTCCTTCTAGTCACTTTGGGCAGTTTGTTCTTTCTTTTTCCAGTTCCTTGAAGTATAAAGTTAGGGTATTTGAAATCTTCTAAATTTTTTTTTTAAGATTTCATTTATTTAGTTGACAGACAGAGATCACAAGTAGGGAGTGAGGCAGGCAGAGAGAGAGAGGGGAAACAAGCTCCCCACCGAACAGAGAGCCTGACATGGGGCTCAATCCCAGGACCCCAGGATCACGACCTGAGTTGAAGGCAGAGGCTTTAATCCACTGAGACACTCAGGCACCCTGAAATCTTCTAAATTTCTTAATAATACATTTATTGCTATATACTTCAAACTGTTTTTGTTACTTCTGGGGATGATGGCAGAGTAAGAGCTAAAGCTCACCTGTCCCTAGCTATG